TGGTTAATAAAAACGGATCTTGAAACATGGTGGCAGCGAAATAGGATAACGAATCCTCCGCCTACCACTTACGGAGTCGAAAACAGTTGAAATCATCTTGGTGTAGTAATGTCCGACTCAGAAACGGCGCCTGAAGCGCCACCACCTGGCTCTTCGCAACAGACCCTAACACAACTGGGAGTTGTGCAACACCCGCCTTTTGGCGCAATGGCCGGGATAATGCCTCCTGGAAAACTAGTTACGACTGGGAATGTGGCGGACAACTGGAAAGTATGGAAACAAATGTGGGGCAACTACATGGTCATTGCTCAACTCGAGCTGAAACCGCCGGCGTACAAAGTCGCATTGTTTCTCCACTGTATCGGTGTTGATGCGTTAAAGATTTTTAACGGCTTCCAATTCGACACTCCAGACGATAGACATGATCTGGCAAAGATAATACAAAAGTTCGACGAATTCACCATCGGCGAACTGAACGAAACCTTTGAAAGGTACACTTTCAACTCCAGAACTCAACAGGAAAACGAAAGCATTGATGCTTATGTCACCGCTCTTCGCACACTAGCGAAAACATGCAATTTTTGTGACTGCATGCGTGATTCGATCATTCGCGACAGGATCGTCCTGGGCATTCAAGATCACCGCACTCGCAAACGGCTTCTACAAGAACGGAGTCTCACCCTGGCGAAGTGTATCGATCTTTGCAAGAGTTCTGAGGCAACAAATTTGCAATTGAAGACGATCTCGGGCGCCCAGAACGAAGATGTTCACGCTGTGCAAGATAAACACCCGCCTTCCAGCCGCCGTGATGACAAGTCTAGGAAAAGCCGCGCGGGGAAGACGAAGACCTGTAAATTTTGTGGCAAAGCACATCCTTTCGAAAAAGGAAAGTGTCCAGCGTGGGGCGCGAAATGTACGAAGTGCGGTGGCAGAAATCACTTCGCAACAACCTGCACTACTCCGACCAGAAAAGTGTACAACTTGAGAGATGAATCCTCCGATGACAGCGACATGGAGTACATTACAAGCATTGTTGCACGACCGGACATGATACACGCTGTTACACAAGAACATGATTACCCAAGAGTAATCTACACTGAGATGCTTGTGGGCAAGGCAGAAGTGAAATTTCAAGTAGACAGCGGCGCCTCGGTGAATGTCATTTCCGCCGATCTTGTGGCTGATAAGAAGCTTGAGCCCACCACAAAGACACTACAAATGTGGAACGACACAACACTAAAGCCACTGGGTTCCTGTCGATTAATTCTTCACAATCCAAAGAATAAGAAGAAGTTCTCGGTGGAATTCCTTGTCGTTGATAGACAACTGACCCCACTCATTGGAGCAAAGGCAGCTCAACAGATGGGCCTAATTACTGTCAACACTCAAAACTTCACGATCGCAAAACCACCTGAACGATCAAGGGCAAAGGTTAAGAGCGTGCAGACGGCTGACGAAATAGTAGCGGCCTACCCAGAGGTGTTCCAAAGAGAGCTAGGAGCACTACCAGGAACAGTTCACCTTGAAGTCGAACAAGGCGCAACTCCCGTCGTCGCACCTCCACGCCGTGTCCCAACGTCACTCAAAGAGAAACTGAGGAAAGAACTGGATCGACTACAGCAATTGGAGGTCATAGCTCCAATCGATGAACCCACTCCATGGGTTAGCAGTCTTGCCGTGGCTGTGAAGAAATCTGGAGCGCTGAGAATCTGTATCGACCCCAGGCCACTTAACACCGCCCTGAAGAGAGAAAGATATCAACTTCCTGTGTCCTTGCCCCTGAGTCCAGCGTACTCACGACCTTCGCAACACCCTACGGAAGGTACAGATGGATTCGTTTGCCCTTCGGTCTCTCCGCCTCGTCCGAGATTTTCCAGAAGCACTTAACTCACGCACTGGAAAGCTTACCTGGTATTCTGTGCATCGCGGACGACATCCTCATTTATGGCACTGGAGAGACCGACGAAGAAGCCACTGCAAACCACGACAGGAGTCTCCGAGATCTCCTACAAAGGTGCAAGAACCGCGGCATTGTCCTCAACCCAGACAAGATGAAGCTGAGGATGAGCGAGGTAAATTTCATGGGGCATCTCCTGACGAACAAGGGCCTGAAGCCTGATCCTGCCAAAGTAGAGGCGATCACAAAATTGCCGAAGCCACAAGATGTGGAGGGCGTTCAGCGCCTCAACGGATTTGTCAATTATCTAGCCAAGTTCCTTCCGAAACTGTCTGAAGTCATGGAACCGATTCGTCGCCTGACTCGGAAGGACGCTCCATGGAACTGGTCTTCGGAACAAGACCAGGCGTTTGAAAACGTGCAGAGGCTAGTAACAGAAGCGCCTGTTCTACGTTACTACGACCCTTCCCTAGACCTCACCATACAGTGTGATGCGAGCCAGAGTGGCCTTGGTGCAGCATTACTTCAGAACGGCAAGCCTATAGAGTACGCGAGTCGCTCCCTTACCGACACAGAAACCCGGTATGCTCAAATAGAGAAAGAGATGCTGGCGATTGTCTTCTCTCTTGAGCGTTTCAACCAGTATACATTTGGTCGACATGTACACATCGAAAGTGATCACAAGCCACTGGAGATGATTCTACAGAAACCACTCGCTCGAGCGCCTCGACGCCTCCAGATAATGATGATGAGGTTACAGAAATACGATTTCACCGTGCACTATGAGCGTGGCGAGAACATGCATTTGGCTGACATGCTGTCAAGGGCTTACCTGCCCTACAACGGAAAAGAAGTAGATGACTTCGAATCAGTTAACATGATCCGTTATCTACCCATATCTGACCAACGTTTAGACGAAATAAGAGCAGAGACTCGGAAGGACCAGTGTCTGCGAGAGCTGTCAGATACTATTCTCGTAGGATGGCCTGAGAAGAAGGAGCATGCTCCAGCACTGATACACCCTTACTTCAGTATGCGTGACGAACTGACCGTACAAGATGGGCTGATTTTCAAAGGAAATTCCGTTGTGATACCAAAGAGCCTTCGCGCAGATATGAAGCTGAAGATTCACTCGTCCCACCTAGGAATAGAGGCGTGTCTGAGGCGTGCCCGTGAATGTATCTACTGGCCAGGCATGTCTGCGGAAATGAAGCACCACATCTCTGCCTGTGAAATATGTAGAGAACTCGACAGCACCACGCACCCAAAGGAGACACTAATGTCCCACGAGGTCCCATCCCGTCCTTGGGAGAAGATCGCCACAGACATCTTTACTCTTGATGGCAAAGACTACCTGGTCACCATCGACTACTATAGCAATTTCTGGGAGGTGGACAGGTTGCCGAACACTAAAGCCAGCACCACCATTCTGAAGCTAAAGAGTCACTTTGCTCGCTACGGTATACCTGATCAAGTGATCAGTGACAATGGGCCACAGTTTACAAGTGACGAATTCGCTGAATTCTCCAGAAAATGGGATTTTGAGCACCTTGCCAGTAGCCCTGGAAATAGCAAAGCCAATGGCAAGGCTGAGTCTGGGGTGAAGACAGTCAAGCGCATTCTGAAGAAATCAATCAGGGCTGGAACCGGCCCATACCTCGCCGTACTCGACTATAGAAACACGCCAACACAAGGGACGACGACCAGCCCAGCACAACGCCTGATGAGCCGAAGGACCAAAACACTCCTTCCTACCACTCAAAGCCTACTACTACCCAGGACCATAAACCTGGAAGTGGAAAAGAAAGAGCTGCGACAGCGCCAGCAGGCCCAAGCCAAGTACTACAACCGGTCCGCAAAGGATTTACCCAGTTTGTCTGAAGGCGATGTTGTTAGAATGAAGCCATTCAAACTTGGAGATAAGTCTTGGCGCAAGGCCAAAGTCACTGCAAGACTCGACGAGCGATCATACACCGTTGAGACGGACAACGGAGCAGTCTACCGCAGAAACCGACAGCACCTGCGGAAAACGTCTGAACCACCAGTTGAACCCACCATCACAGCGCCAGAACCGGATATGGCCAGCGCAGATGAACAGGCGACCACAACCGCAGCGTCTACCCCTGACCAGAGCAATGCTCCTCACGAGCCACACCCTGAAGAGGTGACTGTCCCGGAACAATGTCGGAGGTCAGAGCGTGTCAGGAGGAGCCCAGCATACCTCAAGGACTATATCCGTGACTAGACTCGTGACTTTAAATCCTTCTTCGCGGTTATCATAGGGTTCAGTGTTCTCGTTTACCGATCCTCTCATGTCGAACTCACCAGCTGATAGATTTTGTCCTATGGCATTGATTCTGAACTGAACTGACATTGACACTTTTATTGGTTAATTTTCTTTTTTTTCTTTCTTTCTTTTTCTCTTTTTCCAAGCTTTTCTTCAAAAAAAAAAAAAAAAAAAAAAAAAAAGGAGGATGTTACAATATGTACGTGATTACATGCGCCATCAATGTCTAACTAGACTGAGATCGAGTTACATCTGTATTGTCTTACAACGCTGTATGCTACTGTATGGTTAATAAAAACGGATCTTGAAACAAATTAGATCAACTTCAAAGGTCAGATAAAGACAGGTTCTGTCACTCTGGATGTGCGACAGATCTTCATGTTTTCACTAGTGCTTCGTCGTTGCTCGAGACATCATTTACCGATCGTTGAATGGGAATTACTCGGCTTTATTTCCATCTTTTTATGCAGTTAAATTATTAAACAAACTTCTTCTTTCATTTGTATCTAAGTGAAGAGAGATTATTGACAGACATTTGAAAAAACTGTGGAATAACTTTATTGACACAACAAATTTACAGATAAATATTTGACAAATACGGATTCAAAGACTGCGCTGAACAATTTGAAGCTTCCGTCCGAACAATTGACAGTTACTCAGTAAGTTCATAAATATATAAATATATACCAGTGTATGACACTTTAATGATATGCTGATACATCTCAGCAATTAATTATACTATATGCTTCTAGATATAAAAATCGTTCCCGTGTTTCTGAAAAATCTTAGAGTTGAAAAGCCCCAACGTTAACTATTCTATGGTGCACATGAACAGGCAGTGTTATATCTTTTTCCTTCCTCTGTGATGAAGTTGGACGGAACACATTTCCTCTGGTTGTTGTTGTTTGCCATGGAACTAAAACATGCGGTTCCAGAAGATGTAATCTTCTTACAAATGGGAGAAGTTACTGTTTTGCTGCTTGGCAAAGTGAAGGAAACAACTCTGCCTGTGTAACAACTGGGCTCGTCACCAGGGGACCTCTTTGATCTCCATGGTACAGCACTCTGGGTGGACGGGACTCCGCCATCTTGAATTCTGCGCATGATTTTGTCGAAATCAGCTGCCCGGCCATTTCCACGGTGAAGAAAAATCGCGAGGATAACGACAAGAACCTAGAGTATAGAATTCTTTTGTCAACTTTCTTGGAAAAACTTTTTGCCTTTAAAAAGTATTTCTAAATTATTAAACAGACAGGATCACAAACTTAACCATGTTGTCAGGTAAAGCGATTGAAAAACCTTTAATGGAGAAATGATTAAAAAGAGTCAAAAGAACTCTTACAAATACGTTATACAGTAACAAAGGGCATTAATGTTTTACCCTGAAAATCTCCATTGCTCAATTCCTTTTTATTTCTTGTTGTCCACGGTGAGGATTTCTTCTCCGCTTGCTGCTTTGTTTCTTTCCTCTATTCCTTAAAATTTTTTTTGATGCTGAGAAAAGTTTCTCTCTGTTTATATACAATTTTTCGTGCTCTCAATGTGTTCCTTGAATAAATATATTAAAACTATTTTGCTCGATGTTTCACCCCCTTTTTATGTTGTTTTGGTTCTGTTTCGAAGATAATTTAGAAATTGATCTAATAACTAATTTTTGAAACGTCCTTTTAGTAAAGTAGGCTCATCAATAATATCGTTCTATTTTAATAATAGAATAAAAGTCATTTAAGACACCGTCCATGTTATTTTTTATTAACTTAACAATATACAAAAAAATCTGACTTTCTTGACTCGAAAGTTGAAAAACCATTTCCTTAACATGTTAATGTGAATAAATCACACTTGTTACCATCAAGGAGGCAAAGGTTGTCCTTTACCCAAAACAATTTAGTGGAGTCTCACGTAAATTACTGAGAATCTAATTTCTTCCATCCCGTCATATTGTTACCAAATGATAACAATTGCATGATGTAATGTTTGGACGAAATTGGTAGTGATGATACTTTTAAATCTTACGAGGAAATAACTGTATAACAGCACGAAAACGGGCAAATACATCATGAGTCCTTGATTAAGATTTGATCAGTGTTAAAAGTCAGAATCATTTATACAATAGTGTTACTTTTGTGATTTTAGTATCACAGTCTTTGACTGATCGATAAAAGACCAACTGCTGGGAAATCATGAGCTAAATTCTAAAAAAACCATGCAACATATTTTAATGAAAATTTCTACCCGGTAGTTAGAGAAATTGATGTCCGGTGTTTAATACGTCATGAGTAAAACTTTTGGAAAGTGCACCCTCTTATAACTGGAGACATCGATAGCTTTGGCAAAGAAAGAACTTCCCAAGAGTGTTGAATGTCAGACAGGATGAAAAGTTGCAACTCGATTGTGATACGAAACGAATGATCTTTCCTTATAGCACCCATGACAGGATCCAGTTGGAAGACGTGTTCCTTTTTTATCATCATTCAAACTGGTTTTTCAAATTACACCAGAAACTATACGTTAATCTTGCATTTACTCTTCCGCTGATATTGATGCGTGTTGTGATAATATGCTTTAGCAACATGAATAAATAATTTGGTGAAGATTCGAAACGGTATCAAATAGTCTATTTTTATTAGATAGAGACAGGGGCCCATTACTTGATAATGGGCCCCTGATAGAGAGTGAAAATTGGTGACAAAATTTGGAAAGTGTCTCCATTAAAAGTTTGTTCCAAGCGCTGTAGGTGTATAAGGATCTTTAACCGTTTAACTCCCACGATCTGACTGTTAATTCTCCCCTCTTACAGCTACAGATTTCCTTGTATATAAGTTGCAAGAGTCTGATTAGTCTAGGTAACAACTTTTACCTGATAAGTTTGAGTATTCTCATTACCTGTTTACTGGAAAATGTATGGATATTATAGGGAGAAGTGAAAAGTAAATCATTTGCGGGAGTTAAAGTGTAAATCGGTGATCACATCATTATGACGTCATGTCCTCCATTCTAAACGACAATAATCTGAATAATCTTAACTGAGGAGCACATGGAGCGCCATTTGCCGTCTTACATTTCAGTATTTATAGATCTTCTGTATAAACCTTGCTAATCCTGAATTTGAATCTTCGTCCACTGAAAAACACAATATCAATTTCCTGTACCCTGGAATGACAAGAATCCCCCTTTTTTTTCTAAAGCAGGAAAAGAAAAGGCAGATGTTTCGGTTCGGTTACTAAAAGAAATGATGGAGACGTCCAGAGCAAAACAAGGAAAACATTATTTTAAAGAACAATGTTAATAAAGAAAACAAAAAAGAAGAAAACAAAAAGAGCAAAAAAAATTGAAACCATTAGGTATCAAACTTCAGAGTTCTTGATTGAGAGGAGAGGTTTTTTCTATTGCGCCAAGTATGCGGAGATCATTCATTTATTTTTTGTTCAAAATATGTTAAATTTTCAATTCCCATTCTTTGAAAGTGCATTAAATACCCATTCTATTTTCGTTTATTCCTTGCCCTGTTCCCGGCCCCGTCAACTGACCAGTGTACAACCTCTTATCAATCCGATCATACCTTAGTTCTAATTTAGGGCCTTTCCGCACTAGTAGGCAAAGCTTGAATTGTCTCCACAAAATGAAAGGACAAATTTGTCTTGATAAAGTTTTGTTTCGTCTGTTGAATCCGCATTAAAAATTTCAAAGCCGTAAAATTCCGTCAGCTCCTGATCTGTTCATAAGACCGGCCAGCGTAGTTGCAAAAGGATTGCACCTCCAATTTCAGGATTTATCCTAAGTCGTTTTAAAATTTTAATAATCCCCGAGTTTTGCAACAAAGGACAAAGGTTGCCCGTTTAATAAACTGATTTCAGTTCAATAACACGCTTGTCGTTGTTTATACGACAAGTGATTAAATAGTTTATAACAGTTTTATTTATTCAGGCGATTTTGCCTAATTTTTTTCCGGTACAAACTTTGTCGGCGGTGCGTTTGAAGATTTGTCCGCTTCGGCCAAAATTTGTGACAGGACTAAAGTACAGATCAGAGACTTTCTTTTTAAAACTCGTTTTCATTTGTTTTGCAGTTGCAGGTTAAGGTAAGGCACGGGTTGCATTTTCTCCTCTCTTTTGGGAGAGAGGGTGAAAAGGAGAAAGTGCATGCAGTCTATTAGGTTTATTGATCCCACGTAAACAGAGATTGCTTTTTTTCTTTCTGGATGATAAACATGAAAATTAACACAATGAATGCTTGATTGAGCGAAGGAGTAAATGTACCAATGAATGAATGAGATGTTTCTCGTTTTGTGACGAGCGTGAGGCGACGGAAAATTGTTTTATATCTTTTTAATCCATGCCTGTTGTTGAAGTTGTTGATGTTGTTGATGTCTTTGAAGGAGAACAAGACAAACAATGAATGACCAAACACAGAGCCAACACCAGAGTGCTGGAGCAAGAATATCTTTAGTTAGCATTGTTACAGGACAGACGGGGTGTTACTAAACTACAGATCAGCAGACCGTGAAACCCTCCGGAGCCTCCGGGACCAGCGCAACCTGCGAGACCATCAGTTTTTTATTAAAAAAATAATAATGAAATAAACTACAAGCTAAAATATCTTAACGCTGTTCGAGAATTTCGTTTTCGGGCGTAAAGAAGATAACCTAAAAAGAGAAATGTCTCTTTTTTTTCATCCACCTTGACGTGAATATGCAAATATGTTTTACGTTGCGCAGTAGGTTAAAAAGGTTTGCATGGAAATGAACACGCGCACCCTCAATCTTTAAAAGATCTGGACTAGATTTGAATAAGGATAAATTTACCGCACTCAAGTGGTTGTTCTTTTGTATCGTGTGAATTTCTTGGGCTGATTTGGGGAAATTTAACTCGGTTTTATCTCATCTACTTAGCCCTTTACATAGTCCTTTCCAAGATATGTCTGTGAGTAACGCCAACTAAACAAAGCCCACTGGAAGGAACACGGTGTGAATCTGTGAGTCTGTAACCGCGGTCACGCGTAATTCTGTACATCATGTATTTAAATACATTCAAACGCCTAAGGTGCTAAACATGAGTGGGAATATGCACATTAGAGAACGGAGACTTGCAAATAAATTTACAGTAAAGAAAAATATTTACCCTAACGGTGCAAAGCTTTACAGGAAAAAAACGACGACGCTACTTCTTAAAATGTGGACATAAAAATTGATCCACAGAACAAATCCTGACAAATTATTTAACATAAATACGTAACATCACGCTACTGTACAAACATCAACCACAAGTACACGATACAACTAATGAAGAGTCAAAACATTCGCAGATAATTAACGCATTAACGAAATACACACAGAAAACAAAACAAGATGACAACAAGTTTCGCGATAACAATGCATCACAGGCGATGATGTCATTTTACTCGCGTGTACCTCATTCCAGCGTCATGTACTATGTAAACGGAATTAAAGGCCGCCAGGTTTACTAACATCCGACAGACGCGCATCTGCATACATGGAACATTAAAGAAAATCTAAAACATTTTTTAATAATAACGATCTCGTCTCTTGCGAGATGGTATTTTGTCCTGTATGTCTATCAGCACATTTACAATGAACTGGAAATGTGGTGCACTTACCGATGAACTGGCCTTTTATGCCATGACGCTGTCATGCATTTACGATAAGTGTATTTGAGTGCAGCGTCTACACACATCACATGACTTTGATGGCACACGTATCTAGTAACAAACTTTTTCGCGCATACAGGGTTTCTTTGTCGTTATCGAAGAGACAAGCCAGACAGTATGACGAGTATGACAGTATAAGATATTACAGGCAGATGACAGAGTCAAAGTTTAGCGCGAGTGGTGATTCATAGAGTCTACAATAAACTGATGAAGAACTACGCATAGGTCTCTGTCTTGCTTTCGCTCTCCCTTCTCAATTTCACGTTTATACTGAATGATGCCCATAATTTGATAAATACATCTTGGCAATGAATGAAGTACTTTGTGTCATAGGTTTGCCGATATAATACTGCTTGCTAATTGCCTTATCGATAAGGTGATTACAGTTCCATTACTTGTGCGTGCTCTTTTAGTGTGTAGAATTCAAGTGGTCAGTTGTCAGTCCATTCATTCGAGTGTTGAGAGCTGTTGAGAGGAGTTAAATCACAACAAGACGATCTCGATAT